TGGGGCGTGCTACTAAAAGTAGTTTTGCTCACAAGGGTCAACAACCAACTTCGGCAGCCCTGTGGGTGGCAAGGAAGATTTATTGTTTCAGGGGAGATAAACTCAGCTGTGACTGCTGCCTCTTGCAGGTACTTTAGAAGTTCAAGATAAAACCTTTGAGTGTGTGGACGAGTGTGTGGCCGTGTGTGTGAATGTATGAATGAGAGCGTGTGTAAGTGCGTACGCGTGTGTGTATGTATGAGTGAATGTGCATGTGTGTGCGGGAATTGGGTAGGGGGAAAGGTGGGGGAGGGATATTTTACCACATCTATTTAATGACTATGGTTGTTGGCATGTTTATATGGCGTCGTTCGGATGTGGATACGAATGGATAGGAGAGGAGAAGGTATGTGGGGTCTTTAAGTTTTTGCTTATGTAAACAGACAGGAGATGACGATAGCTGAAATAAATAGTTGCATAAACAGATATACACACAGATAGATAGACACGGAGAAATCCACAGACATACAAACATCAGATCTGGTAGACAGGCGGGTTGGCAGACAGACTCACAGAAAGAGACACACATAGAGAAGAACGACAGAGTGATTAGGTAGATATATATATAGACATATTCATAGATAGATTTTTTTCTAGACAGACAGATGCACAGACAGACTGACAGAACTAACAAACGAAAGAAAGCAGGCTCATCTTACAGAAGACAGACAGACATTCAGACATTTAGACAGAAGGACGAAAAACCAGACAGACAGACAGACAGACAGACAGACAGACAGACAGACAGACAGACAGACAGACAGACAGACAGACAGACAGACAGACAGACGGATAGACAGACAGACAGACAGACAGACAGACAGACGGAGAATCAGACAGACAGACAGACAGACAGACAGACAGACAGACAGACAGACAGACAGACAGACAGACAGACAGACAGACAGACAGACAGACAGACAGACAGACAGACAGACAGACAGACAGGCAGACAGGCAGACAGACAGACGGACGGAGAATCAGACAGACAGACAGACAGACAGACAGACAGACAGACAGACAGACAGACAGACAGACAGACAGACAGACAGACAGACAGACAGACAGACAGACAGACAGACAGACAGGAGATTCCGGTCTAAGGCTCTAATATCTGACAATAATCAGTTCACTGACAGAAGTCAGTTCAGAACTTTCCTACTCTCAAGTTCATGCTTTCATTTCCTTCACCTCATTCAACCGGTCGCATATAATTAGTTGCTCTTTCTTTCCGCTTTGTTTCTCATTTCTTCATAATATAATAATTATTAATTTGTTGGTCCAACTAGACAGGAGTCATCTCTCATTTTAGATACTTCATTATGCCAAATTCTCAACAACAAAAAATATAGGAATAAAAAGAAACCGTTCGAAAGAAATAAGAAAAGAGGCAAGTAAAATATTTCTACCACCAAAAAAAGACACAACACAATAAAAACTGTACCGGAAAGAAAAGTTGCAGGCAAGCGATTAAGTTGTAGGTTGACAGCAATTTATATGGAAGAACGAATGAACGTTCGTTGGAACGAATGAACGAAAGATAGAACCCTTTTTTTTTCTTCTGTGTACTGGAAGGCAAGGTTGATCAACGGGTAGGCAGTTAGCATTTTGCATGGAAAAACGAAAGGAAAGAAAGAACTGCGATTCCTTTCCTAGGGTAATAAATTGAACAAGCAGGCCCATCTACTTCTTTCGTTCGCTTGAAATAAATTTTCTATATTTGTAATGCTGTCTCTAGTATGAATTTCACTTCACTGTCTTTTGTAACTCACTTAGCAGTCAGTAGAGTTTGGTTTCCACCAGTGTTTGTCGTCGACAGAAGTTTTGTCTGGAAACGCTGTATCTGGGATAGTCTTGGAGGATTCGATCTGCTGTCTGAGGTACCAGTCCACAGGTAAACATGGCCGATTCGCCAGTCTTGAATTGTGTGTACACGTCTGTGCGAAGTCGATTGTGCCGTGTTCTAAGACGTAGGACAATGACTTGATCTGGTCAGTCCATAATATGGTGATCGTCCTGTGTCAGTTCCGGTGGCTTTCTGATTGATTTGATTCTTCTCTTCTTCTGTTGATAACAGACTGGTGCGTCAGGCTGTTCTTCAGTTGAACCTTCCTTAGCCAGTTTATCAGCTCTTTCATTTCCGGCAACTCCAGGCTGGTATCAAGTGCATAATTAACTACCTTAGACAGCTTGCCTAGTTCAGATAGTAGTGTCCGTATACCTGGCTATCAGTACAGACTGGAGTGCTTGAAGTACCGCTTTTGTATCTGGCATGCTTTTCTTACATTTGACCCCTCCAGTCACTAATCTTTCACACATCAGTTGTATTTTTATCTACAAAGCGTGTTATATGCATACATCAAAACACATTGACAAAAAAATTGTATGTATGTATTATATTTGTATGGGCGCCCATACAAATATAATACATACATACATATAATGAAGTACAGTGCCAGAACTGACCAAAAAGCATGCCGCCGTTAAAACTCCACTAATTAGTCTTCCTTTAGAGTCGGGGCGCATAGCCTGCGAGGCAAGGAACCAACAGTCTGCATAAAAATAAGCTAGATCTATAAAACAGATGTGCATGCAGCAATCAGGTTCTAGAATAAGACCAAAGTCTAGAGGTGGACGACCATCCAGAACTTTCTGTCGGAGTTTACAGCCGGTGAATGCAAGGGAGAGAAATCACTGGTG